AACAAATGATGCTAATCTGGAAGAGTTAAACAAAGATGATGAAAAAATTCTGAAAGGCGGTGCCGGAGGAATGGATAGAGGAGCAATGGAGGATACAATGGACAAAGAATCTATTTCAAATCCGAACGTTGTGAATGAGAACGATGAGAATATGAAAGAGGAGTATGATGTTTTTAAAAACAAGTATATTGTTAGAAGTTAAAGATCGAGATAATTAAGAGTAGTTATGAGAGTATTTTTTGCAGTGGCTCAACAGCAGAGATAGATGGCGAAGGAAAAAATGGCTGTGGAAAAGCAGAAGATGATGATATTCGAAACGAAAAGTTAGAAAATATGAAGGAAGATGATAAGGAATCCAAGAAAGAGAAGAAATTGGCTGATGATATTGCTGACGTCACCATACAAGAAACTCTTCCAAGTAAACTCTTTAAACAAGTTTCCTATTTTTTCCTTCTTCATGACTTATTGACCGATTTATTTCTTGTTGCGAATCATCTTATTCTCTATGTCACCTAAATTCATCCAAAATAGCGATGTTATTAGTTCAACAGTATTTTATCGTAGTTTTTTTTTCAAGTTTTAGTTTCCAAGTTTTTTTTACTTATAGTTTTCAACAGTAGTTTTTTTTTTTTCTTACTTTAAAGACGAAGGTAAGCAAGACGATGAAGAAGGATCCGAATTTGGACATTTTGATGGAAATAGCAGCAGTTTACGCGAACAAATAGTGATCGATAAAAGTTCGGTAGAGGAAGCAAGGATTTCAAAAGGAAATAGGGATCAGCTAAAGGATTTGAAGAATATAAGTGTAAATCAGGTGTGTCATTAATGAACTATTTAGTAGTTTGGTGCACAGAATTTCAATTCATTTTCGAGAGCCACAAAATCCCATTGATTTTAGCCCAACTTTTCAAATCAGTAATATATTCCAAAATTACTTTTAATTATTCTGCAGTCTTATTTGTGATGATGCCAATGACATTGGGAGACCAATGATCAATATTGAATAATAGTGATAAATTTTAATTTATTATTCTGCTTGAATGGATGGCATTTGCAGGATGATGAAGAAATGATGGAAGATGATAGTACTAGTGATAAGCAAGAAGTGGATGAGGACGATTTAACTGATGCTAGTATCTGGAATTCCGATTTCCAAAACTCTATTATCCATTCAACAACAGATTTTTATCATTTGGTAGGAAACTTTTGTACTCCTTGAAGCTGAATTAATTTAAAAATTTGTTCATTTTATTTTTTGGTAATGATCCGTAAATTGCTATTTCCAGTTCATAGAATTTTTGAAATTTCATTTTCCGGCTCATCGATTTTAGTGCAGTTTTGGTCCGTTACTTTAAAATTATTCTGTCTTATCATGTCATTTTTCTTTGTAGAGTGCAAGGAAGAGTAAGAATAGATTTTGGGAGTCGAAAGAAGAGCTTAAATCTCAATTATATGGAGGCTGTGAATAGTTCATTATTAATTTTTTATTATGACAGATGGAGCGGTCAGCTTCGACGATCACTTCGTTGGATACAGAGGAAGTCGGTTCATCGAACGTTGATGCAGAAGATCGCTGGAATAGAATTTCTAATTCGATTTCTGTTTTAGCAGCTGAGCTTTCGGAAAATCTGCGAATGATTATTGAGCCAACAGTGGCTTCCAGATTTGAGTAAGTTTTTACCAGTATAAAAATCCGTTCTAATGTAGCTGTATCGAAATTCCTCTCTTACTTTGTTCACATGTAGCTTTTTTCCGACATGTATAGATATCACGAATTGCATATTATTTTCCTTGAATATATCTATTATCCATTTTCAGAGGTGACTATCGAACAGGTAAAAGACTCAATATGCGTCGTTTGATTGCATATATTGCTAGCGGCTATAGGAAAGATAAAATTTGGTTACGTCGTACGAAAAAGGCTCAGCACAATTATCAAATTCTAATCGCTGTTGACGACTCATCTTCTATGCACGATAACCAGATTAAATTAGTATGAGTTCTCGAGCTTTACTTTCAGCTGTAACTTTTTATTCCATTTTTGAAAATTAGTGTTTTTGATTAATAGTAGAAACAGGCAAGTAGATAGTGATGCTGCACTGCTGTTGCACGAAAGTTATCAAGAAACTAGTAATTGTATTCCGTCTGCTTTTCATACATTTCCATTGTTTTGTCTCTAGTAAAGCTTGTTGCTGTCTTTCATTAAACACCATGGATAGAGTTGTTTCAGATGGGCAATATTTTTGAGGATAATCTAACTAATTTCAAACCTCATTTCCAGAAAGCTTGTCAAAGTGTTGCTATGATTGAAAGTGGACTACGAAGACTTGAAATAGGACAGTTGGCAATCTGTAAATTTGGTGGTTCGGTGAAAATGATTTCCGACTTTGGTGATTATGGTGGCAGTGGTTTGGGTGGAAAATTAATAAATGAATTGAATTTTGGTCAAGATCGAACTGACTTGGTCAATTTGTTGAAGTGTAGTAGGCAGGTTAGCGTTTTTTGCAATTTTTGCTTGGAGAAATAACTATTTTAACGATGGTTCAAGGATTTAAAATTTTTCTAAATTTAAGAATTATTTTGATTCTAAGAAATGAGTTTGCTTTTTAGATCTTTGAGCAAGCTAGTAGCCGCGAAAGGAACAACCAGATGTTGATCATTGTTTCGGACGGCAGAGGAGTGCTGGCGGATGGTGCCGAAGCAGTGAAAAAAGTCAGTTCTAGTTGATTTTTTCATCCATAATCAGTTTTATGATTTGTAATTATAAACGATCTATTGCAGATTTCCAAATTCTAAGCTTTTATTGATTAATACTGAAAAATCAAATTGATGAAATTTACTTCATTACAGGCTCTAGCCGAATTATATGCTGACCAGATTACAGTACTTTTTGTGGCAATCGATAATGGTGAAAAGTCAATCGTGGACATGAAAGTAGCTGAATTTACAGCAGATGGAAATGTGAATCTCATTCCATATTTGCAGAAATTTCCGTTTCCGTTTTATGTGGTTGTTGGGCATGTCGCTATGCTGCCAGCTACAATTGGTGATGCGGTTAGGCAGTGGTTTGAACTCACTGCGCGTGATTCATGATTTTTTTTGTTATCGAATTAGACATTTGTTCCTGACTGAGATATTTGTATTTATGAGGGATTTTATAAGATAGAAAAGGATTTTCATTGATGCTTTCGTTTGGTTTTAAGTCCGAAACATCATTTGAAATTTAAGAATTCAAAATTGATACATGATAAATGTAGAGTTTTTTAATATTGAAATGAAGGATTTGAAATTTAAAATTAGACTTCGAAAAGTTTGAGCGGAAAATACCAAATAAGATTTAAAAATTAAGGAATTTATGGTGCAAATTCAGGAAACCTGGGAAACAATTTCATTCAAAATAGCTTTGGCAAAGTTTTGTGGGGTACTAACCAAATTGCTCTCAAATGAGTATTTCATAATCTGATTGTCGTATCATTGCTCAGTATATTCATGTTATCACATTACGGGTAGTATTATCATATGTTGTTGATTTTGTTAAATAAAATTTTTTGAAATTTAAATACTGCATATCATACATCTATTCAGTTTTCGAATTGAATGCTAAATTAATTTGACTGTCATTAACATTCGGCTGAATACACTGATCATTTCTACATCTCCTTACCACTATCACTCAAACTTCACGTGTTTGATGTTTTTCCATTCGTTTGATTCATTTACACCGAGTTTTGAGACCGAGCTAATCAGCAAGCAACAGATTTAAAATTAGTACATATATCATGCAGTAACACGCAAGTATGCATGCGCGGATGTTTTGCAATGATTTCCTGCGCTAACATGTTAACATCTGCTTGTAAAGCAACTCTTGCATTTTTGAAACTAAATTTTAAATTCGGATCCTTTGGTAACAACATTTTTTGTTGTTACCATAAATTCAATGAATGAGAGGAAGACTATGACTTGCATCCAAATTTGCAGGATGCAATTGTAATGCATCTCGTATACATCCCCGTCTATATATAACTTTCTGCATGTACATAAGTCTCTACATGACTTTCTGCATGCTCCTGCAGTACATTTATTTTACAGTAGCAACGCATGCATATTTAAAGATAATTTCTTACATGCAAACATTAGTAGTGCTTTGAAAAAATTGTGCTTGTATACATACTTCTTTACAGATGCAAATATGCTCAGAATATAAGTTAGCCATGTCATTACATAAAGTTAAGCAAAATGTAAAATGCAAACGTGCAGACCAATATGTAATATGCAGATTTGCATGTTACATGCACATTTGCATGAGTAGCAGCTACAAATATGGTTGATACAAAGATCGCAAACACGCATAAACACGCATGTAAATTTGCATACTTAAGAAATAGTCGTATGGTGCAATAGAGAGGCGTTAGGTTTTGAGGATTGCGAGCTGTTTTATATGTAGTTTTCTGGTTTTTATTGCGTGATGAGATATAGTAGATCGAATTGATTTGGGATATCTGGGATATCCTGGAAATATCTGGGATTTTCAATCGTTTCATCAATCATTCGGCATTTACAGCCAAAAATCATCCGGGTAACATTGGGAGGTGTTTTCTTTTCTTCTTTCTTTTCCGGATGGATAGGTGAAAAGAGTTTCCGGAAAAGCATCTGTAGCAGTCTGTTTCCGGTTTTCCAATGCTTCGATCAACATTTATTGTTAAATTTTGAAAAATTTGCCTAATTTTGCTTTTCTTTTTGGAATTTTGCAAAGAAAAAAGAAATAAAATTTTTGAAGGCATTTATCAAATCTTAAAAATGTAATGGATGAAATAAGCGGAATGATGGAAATAATTATGTTAAAAGCTAGTATACCAAGATATGCATCAATCGGGCAATTTTGGTAATTATGGTTTTCATTAGTTTAGTAGCAATTTGTTTCAATCTGATTTTGGAGATTATTAATGTTTTTCGCGAATATTTTTCAGTGCTTTTTTTTTCATTACTTCATTTTATATTTTGAACTGAAAAATAGGAGAAATGCGTTCCGGTGGAAAATTCTTGGTAGCTGCACCACCAGATGGTCGGGCGCTTTGGTTAAGACATGATGGCTCATCAAGTTTGTATCTTTTTGTCTTACATTCGATACATTCGATACATTCAATCGTACATTCGATTTTTAATTTCATCTTTGCCACAACTGCAGTTTTTTCTACTTTTTTTTCTTTGTATCTGTAATATTTTGAACTTTTCCTAAACCTTTCTCAGAATTGAGATTAACTCATAATTAAGACAAGTCAGGCTTGATTGTGCAGAAGCTTGTTTGCGGCACAAAAAAAACGATTGTTATATTGGTTTTTATCCACGAATTATAGCAATTTTATTCGGAATTTAGAATTTTTTAAATTCTGTTCGACTAAAAAATATCTTAAATTTTGCATACATCAATTTTTGCAGTAAATTTAATGGCAAGCACATATTTTATTCCGGCTGGATTGGTATTGCCAGCAGATGATTGCTTCGAAGTTCGAATCCTACGAGTGGATAAAGCAACGAAATGCTTGTATGTAAGACCGTTATTCAGCGATAATCAATATGATGAGCTCAATGTAAATCTTTCTGTTGCGGTAACAAACGACACAAACTACCCTGTGGTAACGCAACCGCTTAGCATGAGTAAGTTTGACTAAATCTAATTACGTGTGGAAGAGTATAAGATTTTATGAACACCAAAAATTATGAGAGTTTATTTGATGTATACCTTCATAGCATCACTAGTTAGTTTTGCTGAAATTATCACGTAAATTATCACGTAAACTCTGAATGATTATTGATATATTCGCAGGATTGATTATTTCCTAAAATTCAAGTCTTCTCACTAAAAAGCAACAGTTTGCAGATTTTTAGCCGAGTATTTTTTGATAATAAACCTGTCACTTTAAGGCACTGTATACATGGTACGGACAGAGAAAGGATATGTACGAGCAGTATTGCTGAAGAGGGAAAAGACAATGACTTATTCGGTATAGTTTGAAATATGTTCATTACTTCTATGAGAATTAGTTTATTATTCCCTCTGGTACTTCAGTAATGATCAAATGATTTAATCCTTAATTTATATGAATTTCCTGAAGAAGGTTTACGATATAACCAAATCACATCAATTTGTTGGTTGAAAACTTACTCGATGATTACAATATCATTTTATAAGTTTGTAGGTGATTGGAGCTGATGATAATGATAGCGCGGAGAAGTGCTGTCAGATCTGTCAGGTCATTCAGAAGGCTATCAGATCATTTTGTCTAACACAATTAGTACAACACTGTCTCCAGTAAAATAGATTTGACGAAAAAAAAGCATTAATAGTGTTAAGTGTAAACCTTGCAATTGTCTGGAAATATATTTACAAAAAATGCCATAATTTTGTAGATGTATGGCATTGATCTTGGTGAAGTGTATGATATATGCGCAAATGATGTATGCGAATTATTACCATCTTTGCGTAACGTACCACCTCTTTGCCTATGTATTATCTTGGAATCTTGTAGTAATACGAGCAAATGCGAAGAATTTGAGCTCTTGGAAGAAGGAGCTATTTGCATAATTAGAATTTGTAACTTTTTTTTTTGACATAGTTTGTATCAAGTTGCATTCTTGCCATCATTTTTGATTTTATGCTATTCATCTGAAGTAATAGTTATATAACACTGCAAAATAATAACATTATTCATTATCAACATTGGATATGCGCTTCCTGCTATGCAATTCTATCAATTTTCCAAACGTTACAGCATGTTGTATTAGTATTTTTTCAAAAAAATTCTATTTCATTTAAGGCAATGAATTTCCCTCAAATTATCCTCAACGAGCAAAAGAAATGTATCCACCAGCAATTATGTCACAATTATACAAGGAGATTGAGAATGCAAAGTATATTGAAATCACATGTAACATGAAGGTAAAAGATGGCAGGATGTATGAACTTTTTGTTTCAAATAGTTGGTTTCGATAATTTTTTCAATTATCGGAATATTATAATTTTTTGTTAGTTACATTTTTTTTGCTACGAAATTACTTGTGTAAGGATTGCCAAATCTTTTGAAATATTGTAGTCGAATTTTTTAAAGTTCTACGCAACATTCAAAAGTCGGTCTTACCTACTTCCCTAAGCTCACAAATGGATTACTGCATTCCAGACAAGTGAAAAGATCCCAGAATCTCCTCTAACTTCTGTTACCGATGGGGTTCGATTTTCGGAAAGTATCGAATCTAATGTTACACATGCATCGATGGTCACTGAGTCAGTTAATAACAAGAAGGCTTTCTTGCAAACATGTGTCAGTTATTTAGAAATGTAGAATATTTCTGAAACAAATTTTTTGATGGGTTTTTTTTAATGTATAGAAATACTGATAAGATTTCAACTTCCAGGATCAACCGCGTGACAACTTGTTTTTTAGACTTTTGAAGAATTTCTAATATATTGACAACCTTGTCTTGCAGAAATTTATGCCACATGAAAAGGCGACATAGTTTTATCTATGCAATTATTTTTACACACTTTTACATTCGTACATAAGTATTTATATTTTCTTCGCATGGAATTTACTGGAATGAGGGAGGCAGGCGCGAAAATTACCGGGATACCGTATTATGGTAATAGTGGCAGTATAAGTAGCCGCAGTGGTAAATATATAACGAGCTTAATCCAGATAGGCATGATTCTGCTCTCTATAGCATTTTTTCATTTCGCGGAACTTTAAATTAAGCGCAACTTCATCTTTTGTTTGCATGTATGATCTTGATATCCTACTCTTTAATCTAATAATTTTCGCTGGCAGGCCTATTCCAAAATTTTTTAAATTTTAGGGTAAGTCTTCGACGAAATGAATCAAGCTGATAAAAGATCTTAACCATACTTGTTTAATATTTCAAATTTCCTTCCCCAAATAACTTCAGAATGGTTCCCTCAGCTTTTATTACTAAAATATTCACTTCACATAGTATATTTAATTTAATCTGTCTTTGCATTTCCTCATTTGTTTTTATTTTAGGCCTTTATTCAACTCATTCCTGAGTTACATATTAAAAGCATGTATTAGAATCAAAAATTTAAAATTTGATGTTGTGTGGTATTTTCTTCCCAAACCTTTGTATTTTTCCAGAATTCTAATTTCAACGATTCTTTTACACTTACAGACCATTAATATTAACGGTGGTAATAGTAGTGGTATGCCTCGTCGTCGGTGCCGAGCATTAGTGGTGAAAAGTGCATCAGTACCAGCGATAACTAGAGATCCAGCTTTACCATTTATGTTTCAAAAGTTCAATGTTGCATTACCAGCTCGTCTAACAGCACGAGTAACTGAGCGTACCGACTACGACACCTACTTGATGAGAAATCCCGAAGTAATCGATGATCTGACAAAAGTTTGTTCTTGCAGACCAGTTTATAGTTGAAATATTCCAAGGACTTTCCATTCCTTAAGTAGGTTCTGAATTGAGAAAGTTCAGATTTGGTTAAAATTAATATTGTTCACTTCGCGTCATGTTTTATCTTTGTTATTCATTACCCTTTAACGAAAAGCATATTATAAGATTACACTTTTTTCAACCTGTAACAGTCTTATCATCGAACATAGAAAGTCTTATCATTTTTCTTGCTAGTGACAAGTAATTCCGTGCTGGATTAAATCAAACAATATGGAGTTTGAAACATATTTGTAATCAGTGTTTTTTTTTCTTACTTTAGAGATAGATCAGTATTGATACTTGAGCATTTAGTCCACTCTTCTCTATTTCGCTATCATACTGCTGGCTGTTTTTTAAGCGTATGGTAACGGCGAAAACACCTCTAATATCTCGATTGTGCTTAGATCGTGGTATTTGTTGTATAGCTCGGTTGATCCGTCCAGCACGGTCAAGCAGCTCATCATTTGAGCCGCAGATATACAGGTTCGTGAATGATTTGGCTTCCTGAGAGAGGGTTCCAAATTGCTTATTGATACTAGGAACTGCGCATTTCTTTTCTCTTAATTCCACTATCAATGATTAATTTAATTGCTTGTTCACTTTTTGATTTTCTTTAATTTTAAAGAGGAATTTTAAATTTCAGGCAAAGTTCTTGACATTTTGGTTAGTTTTCTTCCACAATTAGTTACTATCCATTTATTTAGAGCAATAGCGAGCCATTACCGGCCAGATGACAACACCTGTGAAGTGTTACTTGTTGATTTCGGACAGACGATTGTATGCAGTGTTTCAAACTTATTTGAACTCAAGGATCAGGTTAACATTGTTGTTCGTTGAGTTTGATTATACTGTGATATTGACAATAGATAGTTACAAATTATCATTCAGTGAATAACTCCAAAATGGTTGTTTAGTGAAGCTAACTTACAATAGTTGATCCTGTATTAGTTGAGACTGTTTTATTCATGTTCTAACAGTTTCGCTAATAATAACTTATGGAAACAATGGCAGCGTACTGTTGTTTGATGAATATGATATATACCATGAAATTGTAATGGATATGCGTCATGTTCAACTTATTTTACGGGGATTCCAGAAATGCTGTTAAAAATTTCCCATTTCATAGTTTTGTTAAGCAGTGATATATTTCAGCCTGTTGAAGTTCTTGAGAAGCCGACAGCATCCTTCCGATGTCGAGTGAAGAGGTTTTCACCATCCAAAAAGAATGGTAATAAAGGAGTAAGGGTAAGACATTGCTGCATTTTTCATGCTCATAATGTAGATGCAGTTAGAAGCTATGGAAATTTTGAGGAAAAAAAGAAATTGAATTAGGAAATTAGCGCACCGTCGAATCAAATTCATTTAATCATATTTTTTGATAAATACTACGTCGTTACTTCTAGTACAAATATGAAAAAAGTTTCATTTACGTGGGAAAGCACTTCTTAGTACTTACCACTTAATTTGATGAAATATTAAATGCGATTTGACCTCATTTTGTTGTTCTTAATCAGATCATACTGAACAATGGAAAGCTTTTTTTTTCAGTTACTTGATGAAAATGATTACAATGTTTGTTTGACATTAAAATGTGCCCGTGATTTGTATTGGGCAAAAGTGACCTTATCAGATACGGATTTTGTACTTTATTACAAGAAGCCACGTGTACGCAAGGAGGTGGATGAGAAAAAAAACGTGAAGGAAGAGACCAATATCGATACAGCATCACAAGGTTAACGCAGTTGTTTTTTTTTCTTTCTAGTTGAATGACTAAATCGTATTATAATTGAAATTTTGTATAAATAACTAAGTAGAAAATATAAAAGCATCATAAAAATTTAAAGAAAAGCACTGGGATAAAAATCTACGACATATGGGTTTTCCGTTTTAATTGTTTGAGCGTTAATTAGTTAAATTAGAGATCCCGCTTTATTAAAACTGTTTTGAAAGATTCAGTTTTCACTGAAATTTTTTCTGATATCAAAAATACACCACGGTCGAATATCGTGAAAAAGCTTGAACAAAGGAAAGCGGAATTACGTGAGGAAGAAGAACGGTTACATGAGCAGGAAGAATTGCTGAGAAAGGAGGAAGAAAATTTTACAAACGAAAGGTTTGTTGCTGAAATGAAACGAAATTTGACTTTTGTTTTTTCGAGTAATAGAGATGGGATAACCTTTCCTTATTGGAGGACTTGATATTTATTAGCAAATAGTTCAGGGCTTATTTTATGCTAACATATTATTCTGAGTTGAGAATTAAAATTAGAATATACAAGCAGAGTATCAAGCTTGAGTCGGAAAAGTTGTATGTTCTTTTCTAGGAACAAGCGGGAACAAGAGTTACAACTGATAGCACTACAAATGCAACTGTGGGATATATCAACAAAATTGGACATGGTTGCTTCCAATAACTCAAATTTTGTCAAAGCGGTATGTATCATTCTGGTCCGCGAGAATTTGATGAAAAAAGAATCTTGTCAGTCAGTTTTTCACGATTAATTAACATTAACAGGCTATTCTAAAGCAGTGTGATCCTACACCCTGCTTGCTGACTGTAAAACTTTTGAAGAATAAGTATTGAATGGAATGCGAATAGTACAAGCACCATTTGCTAATTTTACCAGTTGCCATAGTTTTATGGCTTATTATGGACGATTTCGAATTTTTTGGCATTAGTTGTTCTGACTTAATATGAAGCTGAATCTTTGTTAGCCCATTTGTCCTTGAAGTTTGAAAAGTCTTCGTTATTTCTCTCTTTTTCTTTTACTGGCTTTCCTAATTTGTGATCAAAAAGGCTATTCAGTATGCAAAAGGTGAGGAAGCTTTTTTGTATAGAATGCTTCTCCGCAACTGCAAGAAGATGGTTATTGTGATATTCCTATGCATACTACAAATAGTCACGGTCAACCCGGAAACGGCTACGGTAACGGCAATAATGCAGCCAATATGCCACAACAGCAACAAAACATCGCCGTAAACCAATCATGGGGGCAGCAGTGGCCATCTTATCCTCCGGCTCCACAGACATCGAGCGTTGTAACATCAATAAATCAATGCAATCAACCGTATCCGTATCAGCAAATGTTTGTCTCAGTGGATTTTAATTAACTTGGTAGTAAAAATTGGTGTATTATTGGTAATTGTGTAACTATACATCTAAGTAAGTCTTGTAAGATCTTTCGAATGGTCTTATATTTACTCTTAAAATATTTTAAGAGGAGTCAGTAGTTTCAATCGTTTGGGAGAGACGGCAGTGTCTCCTGTGAACTCGATTTGTAGAAATATATCTCGCCTCTGTCATCATTCCTGACTGTCACAGTTACATGATTAAAAGAGAGATCTTAATAGATGAGAGAAGGAATCCCAATTTCTTATTGAGATAATTCGACATTTTCCTTTTTTTAAAACATAAGGAAACTTAAATTTACAAAGATTTAATTAAGTAAATTTCAAACTGTGCTATTACTTGGTTTCTGTGGATATTAACTGGTTTATTTATATTTAACTTTGAGGATTTCTCAAATCTCGCAAGAATACTTCATATATCTTGAATTAAAAGCTCAAAATTTCTTACCATTTCATTTTAGAAATGGCATGCACTCATCGATGCCCTATATGCAAGATGCACCGGTATCATTTCCGAATGCAACGAACGATTATCATTATGGGATTCCGAAATGTAACCGGAATATAAACAACGTAATGATTAGCATACTCATATGTGACTTTGCATACATTTACTTGAATTCTTCATATTCATATTTGAATAGGAATAGCATCAGACTTTGCTGAGATCCAAAAATTTAGTTTTTTGAGCAACGTGTACTGTAAGTAATTCATTGAATGTATTCAATTCGTTTTTGTTTTACGTAATTCCATTACATTATCTGTTTTCTAAGACTCTTCGCAATTTCAGATAACAAATAGTTTTTTGTCCCGAAATATTGGGAGTTTGGAATTTAGATTTTCAAAAATTAGATCCTGACGTAGGGTTGTACGTTTTTAATATTGTTGCAGCATGTTTCTCCTCAAAAATCACATTTTCCCTCAAGAAAATGGCGAATGGCATCACCCAAAACAACGCGAACATTGTTACTCAATGACACTTCTTCGGAAAGTGACAATGGACATTCATCAAGGCGACCATCATCGCATAATAACAAACTTCAGTCGTTGTTTCGTCCCAATTCAAAAATTAAAAAACGTTCAACGCAGTCAAAGGCTGCTCTTTCGACATCAAAAACAAATTCCATAATTTCAAATTCAAGTACAGGTTACATGTTTTCATAAATTTTTTCTTTTCTAACCTTATTACTTTTTGTTGCATATACTTCACTTAGTTTTACTACTTTCTTTATTATTTATTTACTCTTACTTTCATTTAACCTTATACGTTTGTATTTATTGAATTACCAATTATATAATTATTATAAAAAGAGCTTCCTTTCAAATGCACATCGAAACTAGCATCCTGTGGTAGAGGCATCAGAAAATTCGAGGAAATGGATAACAATCGTTTTATTACAAATACTGCTAAAATTTATCGAAAATTGTCAACTTTTTTTGTTCATGTTTTTATTTCAGATTGCAAATTTTCCGTATCCGCAGATTCTTTTTGGGATAGCTGCCATCGTAAATTGGAGTATGGTGAACCGCCACATCGAACAATCAGTGATTATTGTAACATTGCTAAAAAACAATCACTTGGTAAAATACTATGAATTCAATTCGATCTTTGTTATACTTCGCTTGTTCATGAATTTTGCTGCGAACTGGATACAATGGCATAATGGAAATTTCCATTTCAGATATCAACGATAATTTTCCGAAACGTTCACTGAGTGCAATTTCACAATACACAAAAAATTTGTCGAACTTTCCAAATCAACCATTTACGCAGCTAAAACTGGAACAAACACGGAAAACATTTGGAAATATGATGGTTCTTTATTTCCAGTTATTTGCAACTGATTGATAATATTTGGAATAAGGAGGAAAGAGATGATAATAAGGGGATTGTTTTGGCCTAGTCCAGTCTTATAAGCTTCTATCGTAATATTCATAGGCATCCGATTCATCGCATACAAGTTCGATAAAAAAACCGATTTATACATCCGACGAGTCAGCCGATTATAGTCAATTATGCATTAGTACGAGCAACTATGAAGAGCAGGACATGGTAAATATTGTTTTATGAAGTAATTGGCTGTTGTGTCGAAAATTTAACTCAATTTTATTACAAAACGAATTACAAAGTTTTTTCTTTGGTTAAGACATCAGATCGATTTCAGCTTGTACTATCAGAATCGCAAATCTCCATGCATCATCAAGACGATGAACCGCAATCATTCCCAACTTATCAGGTGTGGTAATTCTATACCTATGCAATAGATGTGCTATTTTTTCCATATCGAAAATGCCGATATTCTACGGTGAATGCCATTACAAAAAGATCCAGCAATAATCTTATAAATACAGATTTTTGGAGAAATTTTACTTCAAACTTTACTCTATGAGACATGGAAAGTATTCTTATCAGATGTGGTAATTCTATACTCATACAATAGATGTAACGTTTTCTCCATATCGAAAAAGTGCTGATATTATATCACTTTCGTATCATTTTATCAGATTTATGATGCCAACAATTTTTTTATATGTTATGTTGCATTTACTGGCCTGAATTTCCAGTTATATCATAAGCTTGTCAGTATCGTTGATGGAAGCGAACTGATGGTACGAAGAATTGGTAGTGATGCTGATTGGCCAATATTTTTTGTAACCCCGGCTACAGTATCACAAGATATGTCTGCCGCATGTTTTGATTCGCTGTGTCCGACACAGAAACTGAATGCCAATGAAATTGTTACTTTTACTTACATTGATATTTATTTTCTTTTAGACTGATAGTTGTCAAAGTTCACTACATTAAAGCAAAAGTTAATGTCTAAGTGTTGTAGGAGAAAACTTCCTTAGTAGTGTTACAAAAGCCATATTAAACAATTTCTTTCATCTGCCTTCCTTTTCCTACTGTAACTTTGCAGGCAATTGGTGCACTTTGTATGGTACAATGCAATGATTTTGAAAAAACGAAAGTTAGAGCAGTTATTGAACGTTTCGGTGAAAACGTTGTACATGTACGACACATTGACGATGGGCATGTAGGAATTATCGGGCAAAATGATTTGTGGTCTATAGAAAATTTGGTAAATTTCATTTGAAACTGCTAGAAGTTTTAATAAGTAGCCAAAGCACATTCAAATTTTACAGTGCTGCTCCGTATCATCGGCTTCAATGCTTAAATTTTGGGATATATTAATTAAATATTTCAGCCTTCAAATGTTCGTATCCAACCTGCTCTATCAGTACCATGTATTTTGGCTTCTTTGAATGAAGCGCAATTGGTTAAAACGATTAATTGCCATATGAATGGAATACCTTGTGTTGGACAACTGATGCGTGTTCAATTCAAGGAACAACGTAAGGATGGTATTTGGATTGTTGAATTAATAAATGGAATGAATAATGATGAGAGAGTTGAGTGAGCTTATTACTTTATCGTTGTTTTTTGGAATTTCCTGAGAGATATCGAATTTTTCGATGTTATCCTTTGCAACCATTTAAAACGAATTATGTTTTTTGTAGCTGTCTTTTGCGAAATCAGTTTTTCATATTTCTCTTTAAAAGTAATAGAATATTTACTTTACTGTAATTCAAATACAGAAAAAGATGAATAAATATTTGCGTTTTATAATGTAACCACATAAAACGAAAAGATGAATGCTTAATCTTGGATTAAGAAAAATCTTCGGTACATTCTTTGCAAGAAAAACCCGTAATCTTTAGTGAGATTTGAAATTATTGCAAGATGTTACATCTTCGCAAATTTAAATTAGATTTCAAGTCCAATCAAGCTTAGTTTCGAAAAAAAAGAACACCCGATTCTATCAATTTTGCAAACTTTTTTTTTGAATTACAGAAGATTTTACCTTGGATTTTTTTTTGAACTTCGAACTTCACACACCCGTACATCTTTACGTAAGGTTCTTTCTTTGGGTCATAACATAATTTTCTTTTAGCAGTTAGAAAGTAAAAGTTTTTGAAGATATCTAGAAGTTACCATTACTGCAAAATGAATAAGTTTTCAACTAGCCTTTCATAAAGTTTGGTTAAACTACGTGGTGTTGTCACCGTTGTTCTCCTGAACATACCAATAAGAATCAGCCTCCTGATATATTTTATAAAGAATGAATGGATTCATAAAGAGAGATGGTAGAAGGATGAAGAGAAGATCGAGAAATAGGAGTCTGAAAAGAGGAAATTTCGAAACGTGTCCACTTAAAGAACAAAAAAAAAAGTGTCGATTCCTCAAATTTGAATTACGAACGTTTCAAAAACGCCTTTTTTCTTAAAAAGCAAGAAAAAATTGATCAAAAAAGGTATAACATTTCGGTTACTTTATATTGTGAATAACAGCTGTTGGAATTTGAAGTTAAATATAAAATCCAAAATTTTTTCAGCATTTTTTTCCTCAAACTATCAACAACATTGATGCTACGACAATAATCTACCATAAAATGGACAGATACAAACTTATGAATTTTTTGTCATGAAAGCTTTTGAAATCATTCTGTTTAACTTATCCAAAGATTAGTTGATTGAATCATTTTGTTGCTATTCCTGCATTTGGCTAGTCTTTTCATAGCACCATTTTGCTTTTGGGATTAAGTCGCATTATACGACTTTTCAATTTTATCACTATCCGATTTAACCAAGAATAATGCTATACAGTAAAATTAAAATTTAATTAAAATATTTGAAAAAAAACTCAACAAGCGTCAAAATATAAAGCTGAACTTAAAAATCTAAACTGATATTTGCACTTGAGCAGGAATTTCTCGACTAATGAAATGTAAGAGATAACAAATATAAATAATTAACAACCTATAGAAAATGATTTTTGACTTCAGCTATGCAAAATGAAAAATTCAAATAAAAAAAAAGAAAACACTCAGTAACTAAGAAATATGTTGAAGGGAAAATTACTGTAGGAAAATTTGGATTGAGAAAGTAAGTTCACGGAAAGCATTTGTCACTGTCATTCTTAATTATTTGTCATCTTTTTGTCACACTTTCAAATGGACTTCTTTAAAGTCTTATCAAATCTGACCCATGTTTATTTATACACAATGTATATTTATTCAAATTCTAAGTAGCTAATGCTTTGTTTAACATTTCATTTTACTTTTTCGTAAGGTTACTCACTCGACTTTATTAATTTTGTTCACGTGTATTTGTTCACGTGAGATACGTGATGAAAAGTAGTGAAAGACTTGTGCAAAATGTTTTCTTGAATGTGAATACAGTAAGAGAATGAAATTTATTCAAAATGCTAAAATAGGATTGAATTTTTTTAATGATGTATTTGGTGAGAAAATAAAGTCTCCGTTTATCCACACGGTCCCGTGGTGTAGTGGTTAGCACTCAGGACTCTGAATCCTGCGACGGGAGTTCAAATCTCCCCGGGACCTTCCCCTTTGCTTTTCTGCACTTTTCTTATCTTGTTAGCAGTAAAAACTGCTTAAAGTTTAGAAATGCTAAAATCCACAACAGATTTGAGTTTTAATTGTGCTTTCTACAGTTTTGGGTGCTAACAACTGTACCAATTACGTGTGAAATACTTAATTTTTGAAACAATATAAAAATTCAACAATTTTTACCATTGCTTATTCTTGTGACATTTTATACATTTTCTATATATCACTTATAACTACTTATTATACTAAATATTCTAATACTAAATATTTTTGCTCGAAATTTGTGACAGAAATTCAAAATATTGAGAGTCTTCCCTTTTTTTTCTCAAATTTATTAAGATTTCAATTCAAAAATCAATTTTAGCAAATTAAGTTCATATGAACTATTAATATTATTGGCATTTTATCACATATTTAGATAATTCTTTCAGGTGAAAAAGAGAAGAGGAAGAAGGAAAGAGAAAAAGAAGGAATAGTAAGGTAGGAAGAGGAAGAATTGCGTAAAGTGATAACGAGAGAGAGAGAGAGAGAGAGGAGGAA